AGTAGTAGTAGTAGCAACACTCATTATGAGTAAAACACAACTACTACAAGGCTTATTATTACAATAATACTTAGTATTAACACAAGTAGTAGTAATAGAAAGTAATAACATAATTATGAGTAATGGTTTATGACTAGATTTTATCGTATTAAGACTGCTATAGATACTCCTAGCACGACACAATGTTGTTCACTATTCACTGTCCCCATCTACGACCACCATGACGATGTAGTAATATGATAATCCTAGTAACACCAATCTTAGAGTATATGTCGAACGAGCCTTGTCATCGTCGTTGAAGGAGTGGTATAGAACTCCACAACCTATTATCATTCACTACTATAATGATACCAACATTCCCTAGTATTAATATCTATGTATCATAGCAGCATATCATAGGTTAACCTATAAAGTTATACTCATATGTGTGGTCAACACCATCATCACCAGTGGCAGTAGTGTCACAGTATAGGATGATGATGATGATATTCAACTTATTCAAATATACTATATCATCTTATCATAATAATCTTGCGCGCTTATTAACACGGCACGAAGCGAAGCAATGATATTATTGCACGCATGTACAAGTGAGCAGCTGTCAGAGGGATTGCGTGACCTTTGGACACATCAACTTTGGACACAAAGTTGTCGAAAGCCCTTTGGACAGCGAGGGATGTCAAAACGAATCTCAAGACTAAGTTTTGGACAGTTTGTCGAAAAACTACCCTAGGGAGTAGTTTGGACATGAAGTTGTCGAATATTTTTTTTTCATCAAGAAGTTGTCCAATTACGCCTGTAGCGACCTTTGGACAGCTTTCTGATCAATTGGACATGTTTGGACAACATTTAGTAATCTGGACTACAATGTGTCGGAATGTGGCACCGATTACCTTTGGACATCTGTCTCGAATGCGCTCGCCCATAAATGTTTCAAATTTTTCTGACAATGTAATTCCTGATAACTCCTTAATAGTATTAGCTTTCGATGAGGCTATTAATCTTTTAGTCCGTGTTCTTTTTGCATTATGGCTGAGACTGCAGTAAGGATACTGTACCGGCATTTCCTACCATGTGAGAGCGTGGATGAAGTTGATTGTGCTATTTGTCTTTTACCTGGCGATGATCTAGATGCAGTCCGTGGGGCTATGATTCAATGTGATGAGTGTCGAAAATGGTATCACTGTTTGTGTAGTGGTGTCCAAAACGGCGCTGCCACTAGCGATGATCCTTGGTATTGTCTGTCATGTAGAGCCCGCAAGGCTATTATGGGGCACAGTGGCGCGAGACAACATCAGTCCTCGTTCACTTACATGATATAGGAGAGTGGTCCCCCAAACATTCATATTGGATACGATGGTTCAACAGGTCGTTTCAGTCTACGGGCATTGATAATATCATCAACATCAATAGTAAAGTTTCTCGCAATGCTGGTGACATCGCAGCGCCGCGGGGGAAAAATAGGGGCACTCGTTAGATAGCTGTCGATCAAAAAGGCTGGTGATGGTTGGACGAGGCGAGCTACTCTTACAGAGCATGACTCACCAGTATCAGTTCACTAGTCTCTAGCCGAATCATCTGATGATTGAGTCAATCAGATTGACATAGCTATAACCAGATATACCATTTTAAATGCCCTTATCATGTTGTGTTTCGATTCTCACGATCCAACAATGTTATGGTCGAACACAATACGAGTGCAACGTAGAATGATTGTACTAGAATCAGGTGCGAAACAATAGTCAACTGCCATTTCGCAACGGAGGTGTATATCACACTGAACTCAACACAGAAATCTATGCAATCCTCAACGCTCGAAGCAATATTACGGGAGACAGACGGTGTAAAAAATCGGTGTGTACACGCTTCATGAACTTTGCTCAGCTACGGATCATAGCCAATGACTGACTTAAAGAGCTTGTGTTGTATACGTTTATCACGTGTATGAAGTCGCATGTTAATCCCGAGAATCCTGATTCTACCGATATCCGACTCGAATAATCCGAGTGAGTTCAGTACATGATGTGATTGTTCTAGGGCGGAAGAGGTCTCGAGACTTGCGAATCAGGAGAAGTTCCACGAAGAAACTATCACTAACCGCCAGACTTTTTCAAACAATCATTCCACTGAATCTAGTTAGAAATACTGAATGAATTACAGCCGTTAAACATTCGCACGTTAAATCCATCCTCAGTTGCCTCGAAGGTTATGACTCCTAAATGTTCAATGAGATCTAGTAAATCTGATTTACATCCGTGTGTGATGGGTGAACATGTTCGCCCAAACGTGCGGGCCTTTATATGTAGTGTTGTATCAAACAATTTGCTTACAATTGCAAGATACGGGACGGAAATGTAATATTCGTTTGAAGATGAACTGTTGAAGCTTTGCAGTCTCTGCAATCAGTGTGATCCAGACGTAATTGTGTGGCAGTGGTCATCTATGCTGATATCGCTAAGTGTGAAAGCTTCGAGATTGCAAGATAGCGTTATCAACTCATCATCAACTGTCCAAAAGTGCCAACGACAAGCTTTGGACAAGTTTTCGAGGGAAATGCAGACAAATCCACCTTTGGACATCACTTGGACAAGATGTTGTCCAAATGAGGCTAGATGTCCTTTTGGACATGTCGACACGTATTTGTTGTCCAAAAAACCT